TAGAGGATATTCAGGTAGATGTGGGCCTGAACTATGTTGAGAGACCGGTGGCAATTAGACATCGGAAGGTCAAGGTTCTGAGGAACAAGGAAGTGCCTCTGGTGCAGGTGCAGTGGCAGCATAGGAAAGGGTCAGAGCTGACTTGGGAGCTGGAGCACGAGATGCGTGAGCACCATCCAGAGTTGTTTGCAGAGTGAGACTTCGAGAGCGAAGTCTGATTCTAGTGAGGGAGAATTGTAACATCCGGATTCCCAGGTATATTATTCTAATATTTTATTTTTGGAGTTTGTGAAGGAACTCCGCGAGTTGATGCTTAGACTCGTCGAGTAGGGTCGCGGATTATCATCAGGTTTCGCGACTCGACTCGGCGAGTCTACGCTGTTTAATGAAACCCTAATCCCCATGGATTGGAGCCTATTTAAGGGCACTCATAGTCTCCCATTGCGGCTACCAGTCCCTTGAGAGAACCCTAAGAGAGCTAAATCGTTTGGGAGGAAGGAGAAGCTATATTTAATCTTTCTATCTTTGGTTTAGCAAGAAGAAGGTGATCAAGAGTAAGAGGAGACTGAAGGAGGTGTGATTCTAGTGGTTTTAGAGTCTAGAGACTTCATCTTGAGGTATTTATTCGGACCTTCTTCAGTTTTGGTGTTGATTCTTAGAGTTAGGGTTTTCTAACATCTTTTGAGGATGGTTATGTGGAGTAATTGGTCCCTTCTCGAGTTTATGCTTTGGATCTGGACTCAAAGAGGTCCAGAGACCTTAACCCTTGAAGCTTTATGAGTTATCTTGGGAGTCGTGAGCTTAGAATGTCATTTTTGGGGCTAAATCACTAAATGAGACCATTTAGATTACATATGAGTGTCAAGGTCTGGACTTTACGTGATTATTATGCTTGGGAAGGCCAGATCTGTGGATTAGAGGAGCAGATATGACCTTAGGAGGTCAATGGAGTTTGTGCATGGCATGTACTCGCCGAGTTGTTCTTGAGACTCGACGAGTTGAGTCGGGGTGGCCCTGCGATTCATGCCTGGGGACTCGTCGAGTAGAGGGAGGGACTCGATGCGTCAAACAGGACTAAAAAGTTAGTGGACACATGTGGACTCACCGAGTTGTCCAAGTGCACTCGACGAGTCGGGTCAAAGTTTGACTGTTGACTTTGGTTGACTTTTAGGGTTTGGTCAACAATGAGGGCCTTTGAGCCAAAGAAGAGGTAAAATGGTCTTTTACCCTTCTGAGGGTGCTTAGAGAGGGTTGAGTCTAGTTCTGAGAGTTATATTTATGAGAGTATTACTTTATGTGTTTAGGCAGAGGCTAGATCGTGTGGTCAACAATGAGGGCCTTTGGCTAGTATGTGTTGTGTATGGTGTTTTGGGAAACTCACTAAGATTTATGCTTACAGTGTTATGTCTTATGTGTTTCAAGTACCAATGATGATCGCCGGAAGGCGCCGGCATGATTCGTACACACGCATGGGTTTTTATGTATTTTGATCTTGGAAAATATTTTGTGAAACAAAGTTATGATACAATGAGATTTTTTTGATAAATGTGTTTGGAAAAATGTGTTTAAAAATGTAAAAATTTGTTTTAAATTTTATGGTGTTATAGGGGCAATTGTATCTTTTTTTGAGTTGTGGTTTACAGACTCACGAATGTATGGGACAGGGGCAACTCCGTCCTTTTTTGTATATAAAATTTTGTTTGTTAATATACTTCTATGGCTAGTGAAAGACACATAAGCCTCTAAATAATCCAACTTTGGTGTGTGTTTGTTTGCTTATAACTGCATATTGATGTAAATAATCTAAATAATCTATGGATAGTGAAAAACAAGTAAGCCTCTAAATAATATATGGCTAGTCAATAGTTCATTCGTTAAAGCATATTAATAATACGCTGAACAATTGAAGTTTTGTAAAAGTTTTAGCAAACTGAAATCACATTACATACCTTCAGGTGTCGTTAATGGAGGTGTTGGGGCAGTGACGGTGACGGTATGCAGCGGGGTCGTGGTGGTTTGCGATAATGGCAGTCGGATGCAGGGACTGTCGCGGTACGAGGAGGTCGATGGTGGTGCGGGATAGCGACAGCAACAGCAACAGTCGGAGGGTAGCAACTGTGGGTCGGTGAAACTGTGTAGGAACAGGGGTGGGGAATCGCCAGTGTAGGCTAGGTTCTTCTTTTAGACTTTCAGGAACCGATTTATGCGACGATGAGATAAGGAGGGAATTGATAAATTGATTTCTTTGTCATTTTGTCAAATTTTTACCGGGCCCATTTTTTCTTTTAATTCCAAATGGTTAAATCATAATTAACTAGCAATAATATTTAAAAGTTTTATTCTAATACTTAATATAAAATTCAGTTTTATATAATGTTTCTTTGATATAGTTAAGTAGCAATTATATTAAAAAAAAATTATTATGTGTTAAAAAAATGAAACGATAAAAAAATCATTTTTTGTCGGCTAAATCAAATAAATTTCAAAATATAATAGTTTATATAAAATCAGTTGTATATAAGTTTACTGTGATATGTTTAACTAGCAATTATGTTTTAAATTTTATTATGTGTTAAAAAATGAAACGAAAAAAAAAATGCATGGTTAAATAAAAAATATAAAAAGAAAGAAACGTCTAAATGATTAATGGGTTCGAATGATACATACGTTTGTTTGTAAATTTATGTTATGTACAACTCGGTAAAAACAAAACAATCATAGTATAATTAACTTCTGAAAAAATAGAATGGAAAAAACGACATTTGATCCTTAAAAATAGAAAAAAAAAAAAAAAAAAAACGTAGGTAATCTATACGTAATACCTACGGATTCCCTACAAAAAAAAGGTAATCTGTAAGTATTCCGTAGCTATTTACCCCACAGATTACCTACGGTATTATTTTATTTTTAAATTTTCAAATGTCAAATATTGTTTTTTTCGTTTCGTTTTTTTTCACATCGTTTGTATGTAAATGTGTGTATTTATTTTCATTTTTGTATAGAAAATAACTTTCATTTATATTATATAAAAAAAAGAAAAATAAAGTTGTAAATGAATAGTGGGTTCTAACGATCCATACAGATGTATGTAAGTTTATGTTATGTATAAGTTGGTGAAAACAAAACAATCAAAGTATAATGATGTTGTGAAAAAAATGTAACGGTAAAAATGATATTAGACCTTTGAAAGATAGAAAAAAAAATGTAGTTAATCTGTAGGTAATACGTACGGATTACCTACGGATAAAGGCTATCCGTAGGTAATTTGTAGGTATTTACCTACGGATTAGCTACTGTTTTTTTCTATTGTTGTGAAGGTATAATTTGGTTTTATTTTCGTTTCATTTTTTTCACAACATCATTATACTTTGATTGTTTTGTTTTCACAAAGTTATACACCATATAAATATACATAAAACTGTATATACGCATAGATACACATACACACATACATACACATGCATACACATACACATAGATACTCAAATACATACATACAGATACATATATACACACATACATATATATATATATATAAGCAAAAATATACATACATAAATATATATACATATACGTACTTACATACATAGATCCATAAATAAATACATACATACACTTACTTATACAAATATATATATATATATATATATATATATATATATATATATATATATATATATATATATCCCTATTTATCATCATTTTTATTACTCATACATTAAATGTATATTATTTTACTTTATTGATGTGTTAAACTTGTTTTTTTCGTTTGTTCATTTGTTTGTGTGTTAAACACATCCGTTACGATTATTATATATTATCATTATGTTTATACTTATTATTATTATTAGTACTATTATTTTGATTTTTAATTTTTTTTTAAATATTCAAAGGAAAAGGATCAAAAAAAAGTTAAGACTTGATTATTGAATAATAATGATAATAATAATAAAAATAATAATAATAATAATAATAATAATAATAATAATAATTTAAAGTCGTAGGTATTTCGTAATTATTCTGTATCTAGTTTCTTATGTGGGTATTCTGTAGCAATTTTATAGCTAATTACCTACGGAATACCTACAGGCTTACTTCCGTCGTTATTCCGTAGGTATTCTGTAGGTAATTACCAACGAAATAGCTACAGATGTGCGTCCGTTGTTATTCCATAACTATTTTGTAGTTATGTTATTACTATTTTAGGGCATCCCATTCTGTAGGAACTCCGTTGGTATTACGTAGGTAATTACCAACAGAAATTTTCCGTAGTTATTTTTCTGTGGCAAAACCCTTTGTTTTCTATTGGTGGAAACCTTGTTTTTTTCTTATAAGAAACAAGGTTGTTTGAAATTAGGGGTGTCAATTTATGACACGACACGATAAAAATACACGAAACGAAACGAAATCAGGACGAAATCAAAATTTGAATTCGTGTTCGTGTCGTTTTCGTGTCAAGATTAAAAAACACGATGTCGTGTCGTATCGTGTTCGTGTTCATAAATCGACACGAAATTGACACGATTAAGCATGTGGTTGTCGTGTTTTTCGTGTTTGTCATTTTTGTCGTGTTATATATCTGTAATTATGAACGAAATACACTAATAGTTATGTAATATTATATTTTTCGTGTCGTGGCGTGTCGTGTTGTCGTGTTTTAATTGGTTCGTTTTCGTGTTAATGAAAAAAAACACGACATCTTATCGTTTCGTGTTCGTGTTATATAAAACCTTGTCGTGTCGTGTCAGACAAAAACACGACACGACTGCCCGATTTGACAGTCCTATTTGAAATAGATTCTTTAATCTTTTTTAGTAGTGATTGCTAATTAGTGTTGTCTTCTTTGATAAGTGTGATGGTACAGTTTAATATGTTAAATAAATACTAATCGCCGCCAAAAAAAAAAGTAGCCGTCTGATATTTGTTGGCGTATTCTTTGTTCAAAGAGATTTAATATTTTCCATGCATATATACGATATTGTAAAATATATGCATGGTGGATTTAATATCTACCAAGCATCTCTATATATTTTGATGTCTCTGTATCGTCAAATTCATAATTCTATCTTCAGTTAGAAAACATGGAGTTCTCTGTCCCGTTTTCAACAAGCATAGCCACCGTCTTCTTTGCTGTTGTACTAACATTCCTACTGAAAATCTTGAAACCAAAAGGTGGAAAGAAAGGAGAGAACAGAGCCCCACCTCAAGCAAAGGGCAAATGGCCTGTAATCGGACACCTACACCTTTTAGGTTCATCCGGATTACCTCACAGGGTGTTAGCTAAATTATCAGAAACATATGGCCCTATCTTCACCATGAAGCTTGGTGTTCACAATGCTTTGGTAGTGACTAGCGGCGAGATAGCAAAAGAGTGCTTTACAGTAAACGACAAGGCCTTTTCAAGTCGACCCAAGTTGATGGCAGTGGAACTCATGGGCTATAACTATGCCATCTTCGCTCTTACTCCTTATGGGGACTACTGGCGACAAGTGCGCAAGATCATCATGCTCCAGGTTCTCTCTCCAAAACGAGTTGAGATGCTTGCACCTATTCGTGTTTCAGAGCTTAGAGCATCCATGGCAGAGATATATGAGGCTTGGTTAAAGAATAAAGAGACTACAGGATCAGACGCTGTGAAGCTTGATATGCAAGAATGGTTTGGGACCTTTATGTTGAATGGTCTTTTAGGGGTTGTTGCTGGAAAGAGGCTTTCGCTCCATGATGAAGAAGGGGTTCGATTTCAAAATGTGGCTAGGAAATTCTTTCAGTTATTAGGCGCATTTGTGGTGTCTGATTTTATTCCATCTCTGAAGCGTTTCGATATAGGAGGATACGAGAGAGATATGAAAAAAACTGGAAAAGAGATGGACGAGATCTTTGATGGGTGGTTAGAGGAGCATAAAAGAAAGAGAAAGTCTAAGCAGCAAAACGAAGGCAACCAAGTCCTTATGGATGTGCTCATTTCCATTGTTGAAGGTTCTTCCGAAGAGGAATTCCCGGGTCATGACCATGATACTATAGTCAAGGCTACATGTTTGGTAATTAAGCTTCAACTTCATCTATTACTTTTACTTCATTTAATTTATAGATCTTCAAACTTTATATGGATATATTTTGACTAGATGATATTAACTTCACTACGGTTCATAGTTTTTTTATATTCATTTAACTACTTTCAACAAACAACATTTGATAAGTTGGGTAAATACGAATATCATTAGCTAATTAATCCAAGAATATTTGTTTTAACATATTCAAAACATGCAGACCATGCTAATTGCTGGATTGGACACAACAGCTGTGACTTTAACATGGTCTTTGTGTTTGCTGCTTAACAACCCAAGAACTATAAAAATTGCCCAAGATGAAATTGATGAGCATGTTGGAAGGAATAGGCCAGTAGAGGAGTCAGACCTAAAGAATTTAGTCTACATTGATGCGATCTTCAAAGAAACATTGCGTCTATACGCACCTGGACCTCTTGGGCTTCCTCATGAAACCATGGAGGATTGTGTTGTTCAGGGCTACAATATCCCCAGTGGAACACGTTTGCTGTTAAACCTTTGGAAAATTCATCGTGATCCAAATATTTGGCCAAATCCGGAAGAATTTAAGCCTGAAAGATTCCTGACAACTCATAAAGATATTGATGTCAAGGGAAACCATTTTGAATTGCTTCCTTTTGGTACTGGAAGAAGAGTGTGCCCTGGTATTTTATTTGCTCAGCATGCTTCACGTTTAGCGTTAGCTACTTTAATACAACAGTTTGAGATGAAAACCCCAGGAAATGAACCCGTTGATATGGAAGAGATCTTTGGAGTGACTTGCAGCAAAGCAACCCCACTTGATGTTCTCCTCTCCCCTCGTTTGTCACTTGATATGTACCCTGTTGGTGCATGATATGTTATTTTTCTAAAACAATTATTTGTGGTAACAATCGTTGTATGTGCTACTTTCTGCTGTGTTGTTTTTTATATGTGTACTCGGTTTGTTTGTTTACTTATGTTTGATTTACATCGTAACTTGACGTGGCCATAGTAGTTGTGGGTTTGTATGGATCACATGTGAAAGTGGGTGACACGTTAAATATTACATAAATTAAGAAAATATTATTGAAAAATTAGAACGTGGCCCTCAATTATATGACTTAACGATCCACTTGACATCTTTTTTATCAAGTATTCTTTGTCTTCTAACCAAACCGCCAGCTCTTCTTTCACTGCCCTGGCTCACCATTTTTGCAAAGGCAAACTCAGTTTTTATGTTTTGACTAATCGGGAATCAAAACCGCTCAATAAATCATAGCCTTTAGATCTCTCCAACTTTTGATCTCCACCGTTTTAATTAGCTATTTACAGTTACTTTTACTTAGGGCAGTTCCGTTTCTCCCACACAGCCGACGACTCTCCTCCTTCTAGCTCCTATGTTGCTTCCATGGTTCTCTCCCGACCAGGGGCGGAACACGAACGCTCAAAGGTGGAGGGGCCGATATCACAACTTCATAAGAGAATCATATAAACGAGTTCATTTTGTTTAAGTGTTATAATACATAAAATTCTAAAAAGTTAATAAAAATATTATATTATTGGTCTTCAAAAACCAATCAAATTCTACTTTTTCATTTGAAAATATGATCATAATGCCACAAAACCTCAAATTACTATTTTACACAAATTTTGAAAATTATGAAACGCCACAAAACCCCAAATTACCATTTTACATAAATTTTGAAAGTGTAATAAAAATGTTTGCAATAATGAAATTGATTAGTTTAAATTCCATATCATTTTTTAGAAACTTTATGTTTAAAAATATAAAATTTTGTGAATAAATAAAACATTAAGTATTAAATCAGATTAATTTATTCATATAGGCTTGGAGCCTTTTAATATTTTAATAGAATAGCTTTTAGTTTCCATACTACCATTATTGTAGTGGAGACATGATCTTTTATCTTTTAAAACCATTTACACATCAAAAGTACTCTACCAAAAGAAAAAGAAAGATAAAACCTGCAAATTCTCAAATCCAGCGACGGAGTTGCTGCCTTTACTGGTAGGAATTGAAGACTGCACTTTGAAGACTACACTTCAGTGAACCGTAAAGTGGAGAGACGGAACACAGGCGGAGAGGAGATGGGTGGTGATCACACTGTGGGGGTCGGTATTCTTTGTTTCCGATGATAATTCCGGCGTAGTTTAAGCATGCTGGTGGCCGACATTTTCTTTCCGATATTTTAAAATTTCTGGAAGTGATAGTTTGTTACTCTAGGGTTTTGTATTTTTTTATAAGATTGGGGTAATAATTTGATTCACAGAATACTACACTTCAGCTAATCGTATAATTTCCTAATCAACTGATATCCTAATTTTTAGGATTGGTTTTGATTTGTTGTGTATTTTTCAAATATTAGTTTTACCTGATTGATTTTTCTTAGTTGATTACGTTTTTGAATATAATTTTGATTATATATATAATAAACTTGAGGGGCCAAGAAAGCTTATTAAAAAATAAAATATATATAATACTCATATAAATGTAGTATGAAGCCAAAAACCAGGGGGGCCATGGCCTCCCCTGACCCCTTAAAGCGTCTGCCTCAGCTCCCGACGTTTTTTATAAACTGTTCATCACCCCACAACTATCCCGTTATCTCTCCAAACTCTACATATAAATAGTAACGTATTAACCGAGAACAACTGACCGGTTTGTACCTTCACTACTAGAAAACATAGGTTTTTCTACGGAAAGTAGTTACAGAAATTTTCCGTAACTAATTAGCTACATAATTGCTATGGATCAGCTACAAAATGGGATGTCCTAGTTTAGTAATGAAATATCTAATTAGCTATGGAATGGCTACGGAATACCTGTAGATACTAATTACCTACATATTAGCTACGGATTATGTTTTCCGTTAGAATTCCGAAGCTAATCCGTAGCTAAGTAGCTACGGATTAACCATATATTTTTCTTATTTTTGATTTTTCAAGCACCAAACTTTCTTTTTTTCGCTTCGTTTTTTTCACACATTTACTATACATGATTATTTATTTTTTCACCAACTTATAGCTATTACTATCGTTCATAAAGTCATGTGCCCTTTTGGGATCAAGTATTCATTTCACAGTTTAATATTATAATACTTATACTTTTCATCAACTTGTGATGGATTATGTTTATATATGTATATTTATATACATGAATGAGTTGTGGTATATGTGTACGTGTATATGTGTATGTATACGTGTGTTGTGAGATGTATGTGAACATATTCATAAGCATTATAATCTTAAACCACTAAACGAACAATGAATCCCGTATGTGCACACGGCTTTATAAATGATATTAATAGCTATAAATTGGTGAAATTATAGATAATCATGCCTAATAGAGGTGTAAAAAAAACGGAGCTAAAAAAAAGATGTTTCGTGCCCGAAAAATCGAAAATAAGAAAAATATGTAGCTAATCCGTAGCTAATCCATCATCATCACTACCACCATCATCACCACCATCATCATCATCAGCATCATCATCACCATCATCATCATCATCACCACCATCATCATCATCATCACCACCATCATCATCATCATCATCATTATCATCATCATCATCATCTTCAAAATAATCATCATCATCATCATCACCATCACCATCATCACCATCATCCTCACCATCACCATCATCACCATCATCATCATCATCATCATCACCACCACCACCATCATCATCATCATCATCATCACCTTCATCATCACCATTACCATCACCATCATCATCACCACCATCATTATCATCACCATCACCATCACCATCACTAGCACCACGATCACCATCACCAACACCATCACCATCACCATCAACATGACCATCACCATCACCATCACCATCACCACCACCACCACCATCACCACCACCATCACCATCACCATCACTAACATCACCATCACCAGCATCACCATTACCATCTCCATCTCCATCACCACTACTACCTTCATCATCACCATTACCATCACCATCATCATCACCACCATCATTATCATCACCATCACCATCACCATCACTAGCACCACGATCACCATCACCAACACCATCACCATCACCATCAACATGACCATCACCATCACCATCACCATCACCACCACCACCACCATCACCACCACCATCACCATCACCATCACTAACATCACCATCACCAGCATCACCATTACCATCTCCATCTCCATCACCACTACTACCATCAGCATCACCATTACCATCACCAATTCCATCACCATCACCAGCATCATCACCACCACCACCACCACCATCACCACCACCATAATCATCATCATCATCACCATCACCATCACCAGCATCATCATCACAATTATCATCACCATCACCAGCATCACAATTATCATATATTACTATGATGTTTATAAGAATTATTATTATTATTACTATTAGTATGATTGTTAATTGTTCGTGTCTTAAATATGTAAGAAAAATTATCAAAATAATAATAATAATAATAATAATAATAATAATAATCGAATAATGAAAAATAATTAAAATGGGAGTAACTATAATAATAATAATGGAAATTATAATATATAATAATAATAATAATAATAATAATAATAATAATAAGTGGATCATGCTTCTAATGCACTTTCTCTTATCGAAACTTAATAATAATAATATAAATAATAATAATAACTGCATCAGGCTTCTAATGCACTCTCCCTTATCCAAACTTATTTAGTTTTTTGGTTTAAAACGATCTGCCACAGATGGAGGAAACAATTTATTGTTTTTGACTTAACACCCTTTTCTTCGAATCTAAGCCAATTCCGACAACTCATATTAATCCATAATCCGCGCAAAGCGACGGACGGAAAATAGTTTTTTCGACAAATGATTTATTTTCGGCTGTCGATAATTAGTTCAATTCAACGATTAGTTTAGTTTTTCGTTTTTTTAAATGAGATTTTGTAAAAAAAAATCATTCTTTTTTGTTTTAAAATCGGGTCCTTTCATTACTTTTAAAAAACCAGTCTTCGATTTTTTAAAATGTTGGTCCCTAACCGGCAACTCGGTTATAAAATCAACATTTATAAAAAAGTAGTTTGGTTTTTCTGATCCAGTGTTAAAATAATTGATTCTTGATCAACACCTCTAGTTACAATTGCCTAAAACTAATGTACCTAGACCATTTCAAATTTCTCCAAGAATGCAATGATGAGGGTGTTATCGGTCAAGATTGCAAAATTTATTTTGGCGTTTAGTGTTTTTGGCTGGCTGTTTCGGGGTAATAATAAATGTATGGGATAAAAGCATGCCATATGGTGATTAATTTCTTTTCAACAGCTAGTGAATACTTTATTTTATCGGACGGCCAATAATTTATTTTCGACCATTAATTTTCTTTGTAAACATGTCAGACAGCTAAAAAACCCTGAGATTATGGTATTTTTTGTTATTAACATCAATGGCTAGATACAAACCCAAGTTTTTTTCAATTAAAGTTTCAAGAATTAATATCATAATGTATATACGTGTGGGGTTGTTTTACTTATAATATTTTGATCAATGTTCCATATAAACATGTTATATTTAAAAAAATAATAATAATAAATAAATAAATAAACAAACATGAAGACACATTGTTATCGTTTAATTCTGCATTTGTTGGATTTGTGCAAAAGATGGATGTAATTTTTTTTCCTAAATACAATAATTAGCAATATAATTCATTTTTTTTTACAAAGTATAGTTTATTGCTATTAAATGCATTTTTCCACTTTTTGGTATCTATCTAGTTTCCATTTTAGTTTATTCAATTAATTGTTGAAATAAATGGTTCTTCATATTTTAAATAGTTGAAGTTTTTATTATAACAAAAGATAGTACC